TCGGATTTTGCCAGCCCATGACTGACTAATGTTACCCACTTTTAAAAAAATCCCTAGCCCAGGATCTTAAAAAGAATTTTTTAACTAGAAATTTTTTAATTGGTTTCCTTTAAGGTTTGGGAATGTTCTACAAGTTATAATAAAAAAAACTGCTTGCGTGTGCTATGCTAGGAAAATGGGTGGTTCACTCTTACTCAACTCCTATTACAGTTCTATGCTTCTTGTCCATATACTGTATCAGTACTGACCTTGCGTTTCTGTGCTCATGGTTATCTTTATAACTGCCATTCCACTGCTCTACGTAACATATTTTAAATAACTCAATTTAACTGTTTTGTTTAGAGATCTTCAGAAAGAAAAAAGGAAATTTTGTGAAGCATTGGGGAAGAATAATGAAAGGCCCTACAAGATCCCTTTACTGTAAAGGATGTTCCAGTAAAGTCAGAGAAAGATTAGTTCTCAAAGAAATTATCATTCTGATGGTGCAAGTGTTTTCTGTAGCCATGCAGGACTTATCCAGACCTGAACCAGAGCTCTCCTGTCCTTCTCTCTAGGGCTCCATGAAGCTATAACGGATTGTGATTTACTAGGCAGTAGTGAAGAGAGTAGCAGTCTTTAAGTTTTTCTACAATTCAAAAGTGCTGCCATTGGTACTGTTTTTATACTTCTTTTCTCTTTTCTTGAATAAAAAGTTTAATTCTAGATTCAGACAAATATTTGCAGTCTTGGAAATTAGATGTTGCACCATCAGACTACCACATAAATCAAGATGGGAATGTCGGGAGGTCTTCTGTATTATACATACCACTTTATATACAAGATGGTGTTAATAACAACTCTCACAAAACACTTTCAGCCAGTTCTCCCAGTAAGGCCTTTTAAATACTGAGGACTGGAAACCTTTCAAAAGTCTCACCCCATTTATTTGATTATCCAAAATATATAATTACACCGGAATAGCTATATATAATTTGCCTGTATTATTTATACTTAAACAATTCCTGAATTTATTTTCTTTGAGAAAATGAGGACATTGTTAATCTGCATGATTTACAAACTCACCAGTCACGTTTTGCTTGTTAATTATGGTATTATCTGTAATTTAGTACTGGTTACTCTTCATAACTTATGAAGCAATATTTGAAGTGAACCATAGTGATATTTATTCTCGCCCCATCCATATATAAGTGCAGTATATAGTGAGACAAATCAAAGTTCCTCCAGAGCCCCCGTGCAGCATACATACATGAGAGGCTGTATATTGACTGCACAAGACTTGATAAGTGCAGCAATGCAATAAATACACATAATGTAGATGCATGACTATCACAGATATTGCTGTATAAAATAAAGATGTAGCTGCTTACCAAGATCTGTGTAATTGGGTTTTAAAGGCATAGGATTGCAATTTGCAGTGGAATATTATCATTGGTGAATGTTTACTTGTGTACCTGATCACAGACATCACTTAATTTTTTTGTGTAATGTGTAAATTTGCGATAACAAATGCAACAGTATCAGGGATATTTTATAAAGGTAAATGAGAACTACAATTGTCTGGAATTATATTGAAAACTCACAAGTGTATATTTATGCATAAAAACAATGACTGTGGCCAACTCCAGGTGGTCTGTTGTTGTCTAGACTCCCTTCAAGGCATCAGGTTTGTATTATGTATTATGAACTACTCACTTTAGCATGTGAGGAGCACCATATAGAGGCATGTTGTTGTGGTGTTTAAAAGAGAGAACAGAAGGAGTTTTTTTGGGCTGGCATGGTTGCTAATGGCAACTAGCCTTCCTCTGCCAGAATAAATCCACTTCTAGCCAGTCCAAACTGAATCATTAGATTTTGCAGAAACAACTTGAGTTGAGCCAGGGACTGTTCCATTCTAACATTCCCAAGTCCCAGCAGAGTGCAGACTTTTTATGGGGTAAATCATCTTTGAAGGGCGAAAATATTGCAAGTATTTCCTGCCTGGTCTGCTTGAAATCAGTCATGCAGTTTGGTATTAAACTGGGTCTTCTGTTGCAGACACCTTAGACAGCTTCAGTGTTGATATTTGCAGGTCACTTTGATTCCCAGCACATTTCACCATATAATCTAATGTGAAGTATATTCTAATAATAGTAATATTTGGGTTGACCCCACTTGTTTGCTGAAATCCTAGCCATAATGTGTTTATCTATTTTTGTCTATTTATCTTATTTCAGTAGATTGTATTTCACATAACAAAAATACATTTTTCCCCCCATATAATTTGTGGTTTGGTTCCAGTACAAGACCAAATAAAAAATAGTGGAATATAATAGCATTGTTTTTTGCATAAAAAATGACCAATTTGGGCAAAACTACTCAAATTGAAAGACTGAACTAACAGAACCACAATGGAACACTGGAATGGTACTCTCACTTTTTACATGGGTCTATGGGTCACAACTTATAGACACTAATAATGTAGAATAATACTATATAATAATGGATGGATGGATAATTATACTAATAAAAACAATGCTGCTTCCCAGCATCACAAGAAGTTAAACTGTGGCCCTTTCTCTTCTACCTCCTTACACCTTACAGTTATAAACCAGACAAATTAGTGAAAAAGTACGCACATTTTTGTTTTTATGGTACATTTGTTTTATTGGTAGTGTAGAATTTATTCATAGTCATAATCATCATAATCTATCTTATAAAATTGAGTGTCAAAACACAAAGTATCAGAATAAAAGTACAGACAAGAAAATCAATTGTCTCCGCTGCATCTGTATACAGTGTGTCCACTACAGGGGCAGACTGGCCACAAAAAACAGCCCGGAAGGGTCTGTGAGGGGGGCGGAGACGGTGAACTGGTATATTTTGCCAATGGAAATCAAGCGGTTAGCTATGCATTATATATAGTCTGTCTATCCACTGTACGTATGTGATAAATATTTACACATGCAATTGAGCTTATTAGCCGGTCCAGCCTGGTACAACACGAAGAGATTCTCCGAACTTTAAGATGTAGAAACTACTTTCAGTCTGTATCTCAACCAGATCCAAGGTTGAGGAACCATATGCTAGGATACTTTGTTTATTGATTTAATATCCACACTTCCCACATGTGGGATCGTGACACAAGAAACATTCTGCAGCCTACAGCGTATCAGCCTTTTGATCCAAACAAAAGCTGTGGAACTGCTGAGTCCATGGACATTTTAGTACACACTTCCATCGGACAATATTTGTATAAAATAAATTTTATTTTTCCAAACGAAACTATGAAAAAGTCAACTATGTAAATTGAATAAGTCTTCCAATAAAATTAAGAATATCCCAAAAACAGTTGGTCAAAGTGAAATAAAGTGGACTAGTGTTAAAAAAAATGTGTATAGCCATGGTCCCCCTTTCCAACCAAATTGGATTTGTTGAAATTCTACCTGTTTCCTTCAGTTGCTTATTTGTTACCTGTTGCCTCATCAAATATAGGTTCTGGAAATGTTCATTGTAGCCACTAGGGTCACTTCTTCTAACTAATCCTCTGATCTGAATGAATTCCCCTGGATAGCTGCATTATCGTCAACAAGACCATACCCAAACCCTCCAAATTATGCCTTTATCAATAATGTATCCAGTATACACACCAGATCAGTGTATGTTATTATGTGCTTTCTGGTCTAAACTGAAAACTGGAGTTAATCTGAATAGTTGACCCAGGAATAGAAGGTTACCTATATTCATGTTCTAAATAAATTCTCTAAGCGGTCTAACATTACTTTCCAACTTGAACAAGGCGTTCATACTGTATATTTGTGTAAGTCTTGTCACACATGGAAATGCTCCAACAGCAGCTGACAGCAATCGTTGCTTAACCTTTGTCCTGAATGAAGTGAAAATTAACTGAACTGGCATAACATATGTTTTTATTCTACGTTAGATTCCCCAGTCTGCAGTCAAAGTACCCGTCACTGAGTGGCTTTGAGAACAGAAATATTGCTGTGTTTGATGAGGTATTCATATGAACCTAACAGTTCACAAGCAAAGGTTGCTAATGTTGGCCTCAGATTCTGAAATTCTGATGGTCTCAGGCTTGTAAATAATCTCTCTCCCTGCCCTTTGTCCTAGTTGAAGGTTAGGGAACACAGTCCAGCAGACTTTGGGCACAAAAGGGTATACTTGGCCAATGAGACAAAGAAGCAATGCTGCCAGGAGTAAAGGACATTGAGATTGTTACGGTGTTCTGTGTTTGCTTATGTCTAACATGATAATCGCCATTTACATGCAGCAAGACAGTTTCAGTTTTTAATTAGGTGATTATTTGTTAAAAAATTCTCACACAGGTAGTGTGTTTGTTATTGATAAATATCTGGTGTATCTTTATGTGGAAATGTGGTATGTTTTCTGATAGTTAGGAGCAGTTTTTTTTCCCCCTAAGTAGACTTTGTATCTCTGTTGAAATAATTGCACAACAGGATATGTTTCTTACATGTTCATTTGTTCAGTGCAGTTTTGCCATGCATACATACACATGTTAAAGGCTATTTTTTTCTGAAGAGTATTGTTGAAGCTTGTATCAGTGGTGTTTAGTGAACCTTAATTATGGTGAAAATGTCAGGTGGAATATTTATAGAATCAGCTTCTATTAAGTTTGTTTAATCTGCATCTCAGTGCTGTTATGCAGTGTGGTGAGTGTTTTGAGGTATACAGAATATTTTGTTGGCATAAAAAATACCACTTGCTCTGTCTTCTGCCCTTACTCTAAAATCACCTATTCCTGCCTCATATTACAGTAATGTTCAATATTAAACAGAAAAAAATCACAAAATGGTTTGTATAGTGGCCAGGGAAATGAGTTTTCTTAAGTTTCAGATGTGCTCTGAAATGACACTCCATTTAGCAAGCCAGCACCTTCCACATACTATCAGAGAAGAGAAGGGTAGCTCATTCTCAGCCTCTCAGCTGTGTGTCTTGTATTAGAAGTGCTGGAAGGTTCTAAGCCTTTTCTGTTTTGTCTGCAGGTGACATACCTTGGAAAAGTAACCATCACAGGGACGCAATTTCTGTCAGGGTGCACCGAGTCTGCTGTCATTGGTTTGTGGGAGCGCAGGGCACTGGTTCAAGATGATGTTCTCAATGCCAATGCTATTCTGGAGATTCGGCCATTCCAGGTGAGACTACACCACTTGGATAGCCATGGTGAAGCCACTGTAGCCATGGACACCTACCAGGTAGCACGAATTGCTTATTGCACAGCTGACCACAACGTTAACCCCAACATTTTTGCTTGGATCTACCGTGAGATCAATGACGACCTCACCTTCCAGATGGACTGCCATGCAGTAGAGTGTGAGGGGAAGCTAGAGGCCAAGAAGCTAGCACATGCTATGATGGAGGCCTTCCGTAAGACCTTCCAGAGCATGCGGAGCGATGGGCGCATTCACAAGAGCAGCTCCTCTGACGAATTCCCAGAAGACTTCACACCTGAGGATGGCTGAGCTGGGAATGCATGGGATGACAATGCATGGGAATTGGAGTTCTTTCTGGACCCACACAGAACCGACACAGAACAACAGCATCCAGCCGAAACTGAACAATAATATCTAACGAATACAGAAAAGTCATACACATCCACAAAGACCAATACTATAAAGTCAAAACAGAACAACAATTTGCAGCTCAGAAAGGTAACGAATCATCCCAGAAGAATCATTACCATTCAGCTAAAAAAACCTTTACCCTCCTGAGACTCAAGGAAAAAAGTGTCCTTCAGTTTTAGGTTATTTGTTTTTGGGGGAAATAAGACATCTTACAATTTAGATTTTTTCAAATTTATTTTTATTTTTAATTTCACAGCATGTCCTCTTTGGTGTACAACAGGAATATATACGTTTCCTTACATCAGTGAAAAGATAGATGCAAAACAATATGTCCACTACAATGGACATAAATGAATGGGTGGGGTCTCAGGAGGTTATAGTAGAAAATAATAAAGAATAAAACCATCTATGACACTTTTTTGTGGTTTTTTGCGCACCTTAAGGTTTGCGTGATCTAACTCCATTAGATTTATTAACAGCCCTGGATTAAAGCCCTGGATCTTTGACAAAAATGGGTCATATTTCCTAAAGTCCAAAACTCTATTACAGTACATCTCTCCCTCTTTTTCGTGACTATAAATAGTATAGAGTATATGCGATTTGTGTCGGTTTATTGGTGTGAATTTCAATAACATTTCTCCTGAATTTTCTCCTGCGCAGGCTATCAGCAGCTTAGAAAAGAGGTTCTGAAGCAGGTAATCTTGACTTGCTTCTAATTTCTTGTGAGATAAACCAAAAGTTAACACGATCTCGGCTGGATCCTACCTATATATTTTGTCATTTGATTCACATTGGGCTGGCTCCTAGCACCCTACTCCAACTATCTGCAGCTCCAGATGCAATAACCTGTCTTCACAGAGCACTGTTCAAGAACCCAGTGACAGACACACTGACACATAGCATTATACAGTGTTATCCAGATGTTGTGAAAACATGACATATTGTTTGCAGTGGCTTGGCTCAGAAATAAAGTTAAAACACAGATGGTCCAGGATGGAGAAATAGCCATGCTATGTGCTCTGATGCTTTGGAGTTTTATGTGGAGAGCAATTATTCTTTAGACTACATTACTGTTTTAATCGATGTAAAAATGTGGAAGCCAACCATCAAAGGGCTGGACCACAGGTTAAGGGAAAGGCCTGCTTCTGGCAGAAACGTGTTGAACATGAAATCACTTGGGCCAGTTTTCTGCAGGATGCATGACTGTCATCATTTGTGCTGCCAGCTCAGTACACCAGCTAGATTTCTTCTTGGATCTGGTTTTTGGTTTTATGTATTTTAATAGTTGAAAAATGGAAAATGTATAGTTATAAAAAAGCTGCCTCAAGGACGCTTTTTGTTATAATGCAGACTGTCCCCAACTTAGAACCTATGTGACTTAGAACGACTGGCACATATTACCATTGCTTGAAATTATGTAAGTGCATGTGGCTCAGTGGGCTAAGCCTGTGTGCCTGTAGACAGACGATCGCCAGTTTGAACCCAGCCTCGGCACGTCTGTGGGTCCTTGAGCAAGGCTCTTAACCCCCAGCTCTCTAGGCACTGCAACAGGTGGCTGCTCTTCGTGGCCAGTTTACTCTACAAAGAGCAAGTTGGGGGAGGCGTAAAGAGAATTTCCCTATGGGGATCAATAATGTGTCAGTTGTTCTTATATAAAAATACATTTCAGACGGCTGTACACCAGTAGTGCTAGGTTACCTAGTGAGTGTGGCCTGCCCTACAATAGTTGCTAGTAGTTGACCCTCCAAGCTTTATACGCATCTCCCAGTCTCATTCTGGCACCTAAAAGTCAGTAAAATGATCCTATCCTGATCCTATATGACTTGTCTGTCGGGGTAGAACCCAGTCGTAAGTTGGGGACAGTCTGTATTTTCCAGTTGTGTCTTTGGCAGTATTTGGTCTGAATTGAACACCATGTAGGAATGGTAACATTTGTATGTTGATGCAATTTTAATGAAAAAAACTCTGTGTACCCATATTCTGTGAATGAATTTTAACAAAGAAGGTCCTGGTCAGTATATATTTCTAAAGTTCTTTGCTAAGCTAATGTAAATAGAAATATTAATGTGTGTTTCCAAATATTACAGCATAAATGTTTATAGTTATTTTAAATGAACAAGAAACAACAGTGTTTAATACCCAACTGTGAATATTTAGAAAATCCTGTAGTGCTGGATGTTTAAGCCATGTCAAATCATAGCTGTACGTGGGAGTGAAGGTGTACAGAAGTGTTTATGAAATAATGGATAACTGTGTTCCGTTTTCAGTGCCTGGATTAGCTTTAAATGATTCATTGTGTCACCTTATGTGTTTTATATGCAGTATTTGCAAAGATAAAAAAATCAATTTATAAAGTTCAGTCATGTTTGTTGTGTGTGTAATTTTTAAATTTTATTTATTTATGTTTATTATTTGGTTGTCTTGAATACTGCACAATCCTGAATCTCATTAAGTTTGTAATGGTTCTTTCTTGGATGTACTATTTAATATATTGGTACAAAAAATATATTTTATATTGTGAAAATAATACCATATTTTAAAAATACTTTGTCTCAACAGATCAGTAATATTCAGAACTGTTGACAGTTCAATGCTCCTGTATAGATTATGTAAAAAGTGTCCTTTTTATATGAAAGTGGCTTCTTAAGAACAGAATAAATTATCGTGAGATTCATTTCTCCTAGAAAATAAAGGTTACTACAAACTATACATGAAACCTACTATTTAGACTTACAATTCTTATATTTTTTCTTGAAAAAATCTCACCAAAAGTTAAGTTGGATCTAAAAAAAGATTTATAGAGGGCCTTTCACAAACTAAGTATCTTAAGACATCCTTAGATCATAAAGAAAATCTGTAACTGTTCCTTTATCTAACCTCCAGCATTAGGGTTAGGTTTAGGGAAACAAGCTGTCCTTAATGTACATGAGACTACCTAGTAATCAACTGGTATCCTGTCCAGAATGTAATGCTACATGATATCTTTGTTTAGGTTTGGACTCCAGGATCACAGGTGCTCTAAACCGTGTTTAAGTGTGAAATATCTAAGATTTTGTTCCCAGTTGGAAATTCTTTGGAAACACACATACAATCATTAATTGCCAGGGAATCAAGTCCAGTCACTTGCATGACAGGAGGGCTTATTGACCACTTTATTAATGAGGAGAGTCAGTAAACAATGATTTCAAAAAATAAAAATTTGATTGCGCAGAAAAAGCTTACGTCGGAGAGGCAGGAGAATAAATATTGTTCACTTTTGTGCTGAGATCCTGTATTTGATGCAATTCTGGAAGTATACACTATCAGCACTGTCCTTGTCCTCCCTGTTCAGAGGTCATCCAAAACCCATTCACATACCACATAGTATGCGATTGTTGTTCTTTCAGGTGGCTCTACATAAGTGGCAGCTATTGACGTAGCCCCCCCCCCCCCCCCCCCCGGTATATTTTCAGACTTAATTATATATTAGTCATGGCTGTAAATATTACAGTAAATATTCAAATATCAATTACACTGTGGTCATAAACATTTTCCATTGGTTTCTAATTTCAATCCAATGCAGCCCTATTGAGCTGACACTTAGAAGGTAAAGCTGACAAAAATTAAGTTTTTAACAAGTGCACACTTTTCTGAGATGCAGTCATGCTGGTTGACCCTGCGCTGTGACCCCCAAGCTTGTTTTCACCTGTATATATGTCTGTGTATCTCATGGAGAGCAAGATGAGATAGGCGAAATGACACTTTCCCCACGGGGATCAATAAAGTCTCACTATTATTTCGTATTATATTGTATCATACTCTATTCTATTCTATTCTGTTCTACAGAAATACAAGTAAAATCAATGGAGTGGGCGCACACATGTAATATACGAGACTCAAATCCCCACATTTGCCAAAAGATTTGGGCACAGATTTTCCTTTTGCACAGTACATATACAAGATTAATTACAACCAACAAAAATAGTTTTTAATTTTTGGCAAATTCACTTAGAGTATACCAATTCTGTGTCCAAAAACAACAAACTAACAAGGAATATTAATGAAAAAGCTAATTTATCTTGCCTGATGGCTGAACTCGTAAAATGGTTAAACGTGCCTCAATCATCTTTGGGTCGAGAAAATGCAAGAGCACATGTCATTGGAAAGACTAGAAGAAGCATGTTTCACTGGGTGGGTTTAAAAACAGGTCATATTCCTTAACTAACTAATCAACTACTAAATATGCACATGGCGATGAGAAACACATGAAGTATTGCAGCTCAGTGAGGCAGAAAGCATTTTGCTTCATCGATATTCCTTTTTGCACAGTACTTTGTCAGATATGTTTTGAACAGCCTCACTTTTTTGGTTTCACAAAGAAATGCTCAATGTGATTGTACATTGGCATTAAAATAATACTTAATGTAACATGAATGTTTCTTTTGTCTCTTCTTCTTTGGTGAAGCTCTGCTTCTTGTAGTGCATGCTCCTTACCTCTGCTTGACCTCTTGTCTTAAAGAAACCATCATTTTCCATGGTCATCTGTACCAGGAGACATACAGCAGATTAGGCTGCCCCAAAACTGGGGGTCCTGGTCTCAGAAGAAAAAAATCTCAACACATACACTCATACAGAGGAATCATTGCATCAAGATTGAATTATATACTGTAATACTTTATTTGTCAAAACAATTGAAAATATTCACCTTTGGTGTATGAAGAAGTAAACCTTTCCAATACAGTATTTCCCAGCATGTAATATGCATGCTGCTAAAAAGAGCTACAGCGTAAATAGACACTGGGCTAGGGCCATTTCAGTTTGCAATCATCTTGTAAAAAATGAGCCGTGCATCAAAAAAAAAATTTCAATGGTAGAAGAGTGCCTTTGTTGGCTAGGTATATTACCGTAACTTTTTAATTTTTATTAAAGCCAGAATGTGGCTGCATTATGTTTTGTGTGGGATAATACTCCTAGGTCCCCCCATAGCATTGCAAAGTAATGTTCTCCAGATCACGGTGTAAACACTAAGTGCATAGATAAACAGGACAATTGCAGAAAAAAACATGTGTTAATAACATTGACACAAAATGCCAAAGTAAACAATGATGGAATGTTTAAATGGCAATGGTGTAAGCAGCAGAGCACATAAGTGGTATCTAGGAGTAAGTAATAAATAAATATCAAAGATAAATAATGTGATAATTGTGCAAATGGCAAGAAAGTGATAAAGTTGAGGAATGGTATCATTTAAGTCTGAGGACAGATTGAGGTTGAACTGCAGAATTGAATTGTGGTGAGTGTAACATTTCTGAGAGCTTGAATGAGCAACATGAATGAAAGTCAGAATGGATTGTTAGAGCCAAAGAAGGCAGCCAGGGCCAGTCAATCCTACAGGCAACATAGGTGGCTCACCTAGCGAGCCACATTGGCTAGGACCCATACTGGAGGCTGCAATATGTCTGAAAAGGGAAGGACAGTGGGTAAAGCACACCGGGTTAAAAGTAAAAAAGAAGTGAGACTGAATGAAGAGGTTGTAGGACATTTAGAAGGTTAATGGCTTTTCCACAGCAAAGAATTTTTCAGAGAGTCCCCTTAGCATCCATCAAAATGCTACAGAGAGTTCATTTCCACAAGTTGGGCTGTCATGTACCTTGGCCACATGGAAAAAATAGATAATTATAAAAACAGATTATACTTGATTGCTCCTCTCAAAGTGTTTAGCTTGGAGGAGTGACATAGTGATGCAGTGGTTAGCACTGTTGCCTCACACCTCTGGGACCTGGATTCAGGTCTCCACCAAAGTTCCATGTGTGTGGAGTTTGCATGTTCTCCCTTTGTCATCGTGAGGTTTCCTCCAGATACTCCAGTTTCCCTCCATAGTCCAAAAACATGCTGAGGATTATGCTTGTGATCCTGAATAGGATGAGCAGTTCTGAAAATAGATGGATGGATTTTAGCTTTGACTTATCAGTTGATCACAAGAATTAAAAGGCACAACTAAACTCCAGCCACATTTTGGTGTACTGATCTCAGCTTTCCAGTTTACAGTAACACATAACTTCCTGTCCTACTAATGATCAGGAGAGATTCTGAGCAAGGTGTGATAAAACTCCCAGCTTTAATAAACATCCGGGACTTGCTGTTCTGCGGGAAGGGAAACGGCAGGAAATGCCAGAAATGTCCATCCACAAAAAACAAGTCTGAGAATGCAGCACAGAGCATATGTTGCTTTGGGATGGAATACTACTTATTCCCATCTCCATTGTCCTCCACTGGTACAGATGTGAGGCAGCAGGACAGTGTCAGACGGTCTTCAGATGAAGGTAAACGTGGTGCTTCTTGCACAACCCCAAACCAGAAAGCTGGGACAGTATGGAAAATGCAAAATGCAAAAAAAAACAAAAAACCACAGTGATTCTGAAATTGACTTTTATTTCATTGCAAATATTATGAACCCAAGATATTTCATGTTTTGTGTAGTCAATCTTATATAATTTGTTAATATACATCCATTCCTGCATTTCAGGCCCGCAACACATTCCAAAAAAGTTAGGACAGTAAAGCATTCACCACTTTATGATGTTGCCATTTCTTCTCCCAAAACTTAAAAGACATTGTGGCACTAAGGATACCAAACGATGAAACGTTTCAGGTGTTATTTTGTTCCATTCTTCATGCAAACATGTTTTAAGGTGTGCAAAAGTACAGCAGTGTTTCACCTATGATTATATTAGGGGACACCCCCACACTTGAGGGTCAAGTTAATTTTATTTAATTTTATTTTCTATATAGCACCAGATCACAACAGAAGTCATTTAAGGTTACCTTTCCAATAGAACAGGTACAGTATATACATTGTCCTTTTATTAAACAAACTAAACAGCCTTATGTTATTTATCTTATTTACACAACAGCTTGTCATTTTTGTCTCTACGCGGTCGCGCATTTACAATTCTCCTCTGCTCTCTGTATTGGGCATGGCGGAGTTCCGCCCCCATGTGCGTGCACAGACACGTGAGCACCCTCCCACCAGCGGACAGAGAGCGCGCGGCGGAAAATATGTCACATCAACCACCTGAACAGCAGGCAAAAATATCTGCGTTTTTTTGACTACTCTCATTAAAAGAACCACATGAATACCATGAATCCTGTCAGTGTCCATCTGCCCCCCCGCCCAAAGCTGTAAACCTAGGGGAAACACTGTACAGGGTCATCATTGTCGCATTTTCCATTTTAAAATTCTCTATCCTTTTCTGCATTAATGGTACCATCACAGAAGTACAAATTACTTTTGCCAAAGGCACCGACCCAACCCCAGACCATGACAGGCCCTGGCTTTTGGATTTGTTGCTGACAATGGACTGGATGGTCCTTTTCGTCTTTGGTCTGGAGCACACGGCATCCATTTCTTCCAAAAAAGTTCTAGAATACTGATTCGTCTGACCACATTACGCGTTTCCACTGTGTGATAGTCCATCTCAGATACCTCAGAGCCCAGAGAAGTCGACGCCACATACGGACAAGATTAATTTAAGGCTTATTTTTTGCACAGTGAAGTTTTAAGTGGCATTTGTGAAAGTAACTCCAAATTGTAGTGCTTGACAAAGGTTTGCCAAAGTAGTCCCTTGCCCATGTGGTGATATCAGTTATTGATGAATGACGGTTCTTGATACAGTGCCGTCTGAGGGATCGAAGATCATGGATACCAAGCTTAGGCTTTTGCCCCCCTGCCTCTTACACACTGATATTCCTCCAGATTCCTTGAATTGTATAATGATAGTATGCAATGTAGAGGAAGAAATATGCAAATCCTTTCCAACCTTTCTTTGAGGATTGTTTTTTAAGCATTTCAATAATTTTCTTTCACATTTGTTCACAAACTGTAGATCCTCTGCCAATCTTTGCTCCTCCAGGACTCCTTTCGTGGATAGTGCTTTTGAATCACCTGTTGACAGCACCTGTTTGAAATCACATCACTATTTAATTTTTTTTTACCTCATTACTAGCCATAAATGGCTCCCGTAACTTTTTTTGGAATATGCTGCAGGCCTGAAATGCAGGAATGGAGGAATTCATTCAATTCAATTCATTTTTACTGTATATAGCGCCTTTCACATCAGAGTTGTCCCAAAGTGCTTTACAGGGTTGTGTTGTGATACATGAAACAGAAGTTGAGGGAGATACAGGGGTAATGGGGAAAAAAGGAAGGTAAGACATTGAATAAAGAAGCCAGAAGACAACGGAGGAGAGGAACCAAAAACTCCCAAGTAGGGAGAAAAAAAACCTCTGGGGGGTCCAAGGTCAAATGGCTGCCCAACCCCCCTGGGCATACTAACATTACTGAAAACAGAAAAGAGTGGATATGCTTGCTAAAAGGGAGGTATATGCTTGGATTAAGAATGAAGTCAAAGTCCATTGATGAGTCCATTATCTATGTTGGCCTCTGAGAAGTGGCCAGGGTCTTTTCTCCACGTTGGGCTGTGTCGGGTGGCACTGAAGGCTGCACCCACGATGATATAGTTCATATGGCCCATTTGCGATGTCACCCCTCCATGGGACTGAACCAGGACTCCAGCTCAGATGGTGCCCACCCCCGGCACCACCCGGACATGTGGGAAGGCAGAGAGCATGGATGGTCAGAACATTCGTTGACACATAAACGGGCAAGCATAGTAGATAAAAATGACATGTACAGCAGCACCAGCAGCCATAGTTATGGTGGTAGGTTGCAGGTAAGCTGAACTGAAGTAATGGGACAATTCGAGCTGCTGCATTTTGAATACGCTGCAAGGTATTTAGTGTGCAGTGTGTGCTCCTAGATAGAGCATTGCGTAAGAAGCACGCCTTCGATACTGCATTTACATGTAATTTAAATGAGAGGCTTGTATCTAAGATGACACCTAGGTTACGGGCTGAACTGCTGATGGAGCTCAGCCCGTAACTTAGGTGTCATCTTAGATACAAGTTCAGCCCTTTGGAGTGAAGTGCGGAGATTATACTATTCCTATCTGCAGACTTGCCTCCAAACAACAGAACCTCGGTTTTCTGAGCATTTAGTGACAAGAAGTTTTCTGCCATCCAGATTTTAACCTCGTTAAAGCAATTAGCTAAGGTAACAATAGGTGTGGTGTCGTTAGGTGTAATTGAAATGTACAGTATATTTGGGTGTCGTTGGCATAGGAGTGATAGTTAACATTATGTTTTCTCATTATGTTTCCTAATGGCAGCACATTGTCAGGATTTCGGGCAGAAGATACGGAGAAAGACCGGCGACCTTGGATAGCCCGTGTAGCGTGGATGGTAACCCAGATGCGGAGTTTACGCAAAGAGGTAGGATAACCACATGATTATTCTAAGAACGCTCTTTAAATAAAGAGTAGAGATTCCCACCGGAATCTGCGTGGGTACCATCCATGCTACACGGCTATCCGCTGAAGCCAGTCTTTTCTCGTCTTTCAGCCCGAAATCCTGACAGGCTGCGGGTGCCAGAGCCGGACTGGAGGCAATTGAGGCAGGAGGAACAACTGCCAGATCTCATCTGGCTGTGTGCTCTGATTATGCCATGTCTATAAATGCCTCGATCTGCTTAATCTCTACTAACGTGCTAATGCGCATGCTAATGCTCCAATGCGCAAATCCTGTCCTCCAACTTTACAAAAACTAAACACTTCTGGCACACTATACTATCAGGAGTGTCGGAAGGACGGTCTACACTGTACATGTAGGCGGGATTTTTATGGTGACAAGTAAGGGTTAACAGGAAACACCTGTGAGGCGGAAGTATGGACGATATAAAATGCCGGCGAATGAGTGAGCGGGGAGGCCTCTCTATGCTCGGTGGTGCTTGGAATCTACGCTGCAGCTGCCATATGCGAAGGCGTGTATCTCGGGGAGATTATCGTGTTGTTGGGATATAAGGCGAGTACTGGTGGGGTGCGGCGGGTTGGGAAGTTAGCGACGCAGGTCCACGTTCAGTGGCAGCGGCGTGGACTCCAGGCGCCACGGGAAAGGTTTGTGGTTCCTTCTAGAAGCCGGGGTATTATTTATGTTGTGGGTTTTTTTTTGTTTTTGGGGGGTTGTGATGTCATCCCCTGACTAGTTCATTTAAATAATATTGTTGTTTGATATGAATTGATTTCTTTTTTTTGTGTATTCGTTTATTTAGGAGGAACCTCATGTTAATCTGTATTCCTGACCCCTTGTCACGGATGTGTGAGCTGCCCAGGCCCTTTTATTGTACAAGTGTGAACTATAGCAGTGTGTTTTAGCTAATTGTGAAAAGTGTTTCAGAGATTGCTGTGTTTAGATCATTGTGTGGGGGTTGTGGTGTTGCCTGGCACTCCACTTACTTATTGGGGCAGGGACATTGAACTGTGGAATCCTGGTAATAAATTCTTATTTCTATACGTCTGTTGTGAGCTGTTTCTTATACCTGCTGCCCAGTTTAGCCAAGTTACAAACGTGCATAATTGTGAAAAGTTATTCCCTATTACGTACATACCACAGGAGCTACAGAGCACAGGCGTAGAAAACATGGCCCTTACCTTTTTGATTTAAACGGAGATCGTGGGTCGGTGCTTGCGAAGTTGATTAATCCGTCAGGGTTTGGAAATTATCGGAAGACTATTAAGCTTGCGAAGTTTTTTTCCGATGACTTAATTCTAGTTATTATTTAGGTGATAGCTATAGTTTTAAAGTTTGTGCCCTTCTGGCAAGTCGTTTTAATATTTAATCACTAGACTGGATATGTATTGCAGATATCTCTAATTCAATTATTCCTAATCAAAAAGAGCATTTCAGATATCAACAATGACATTCTTCCTATCCACAATTCTCATTTCAGATATTCACATCGTCATTCTTCCTAGGAGAAATTATGTCACTTTTGCCATTCATGTCTATTGGGCTTTCAATTTAAAATATCCACAATCATATTTCAGATATCTACAATTAAATTCTTACTAGGAAAAACTCCCATTTCAGATATCTACAATCCAATTGTTACTAGTCATAATTTTAATTTCAGATATCCAAAAGAAAAAAATACATTCCAGATATATATAATGTAATTTTGAATATACAAAAATACATTGTGAATAGTAAAAATGTCATTACAGATATCCACAATTCATATTATGACTAGTAAAAATACAATTGTAGATATCTACAACTAGAATTATGACTAGGAACAATGCAATTGCAGATATCTACAAATGTATTGTGAATATCTGTTGATGAGTAGCTAGTAGAGTTGGATGTCTGGAGACCGTTCCTGGTCTGGAGACCGGTCTCGAGACCACTTTTACGCTGTCTTGGTCTTGTCACAGTCTCGACGGTCTATGCTCTTGGTCTTGTCTTGGTTTCGGATCCCTCGGTCTTGTCTTGGTATTGCTGTCTTGGTCTTGCTGTTTAGATCGACATAGTGGTCAGGAGATTTGGAGTGAAAAGTATCCGACACACAACGTAACGTTCCATAATGCAACATTATTATTATTTTGCCTTTTGCGCCCTTCAAATGCAACCAATCAATGACATACATGCATTTTGTTGTGATTCAGACATTGGCGCTCATCCAATTAAAATACGCGTTATACGCGCAAAATAAGAGTAGAGCTAGTTAAACATCAGTTAAATGTAGGGCTGTACGATTTGGGGAAAATATCGAATCACGATATTTCTGACAAAAATTGCGATTACGATTTGATTTGAGATTTAAATTTTTTATGTCAAGCTTCAGTTCAATATTCAGTGTGTAGTAGACTTGTAGTCAAGACCGCCTAAACCAAGACCAAGACACTACCAAGACCAGAGGGTATCGAGACCAAGACAAGACCAAGACTAAGACCAAGACAGACCGAGCCAAGACCAAGACAAAGTCGAGACAAGACCAAGACCGAGACTGAAAAAAAAGACTCCCTTAACTTTTGTGTGCTGTTGAGGACTGACATGACGGGTACTGACTGGTCCCAAAGTCTTCTGACAAAACAGCTAACACCTCCAACAACTGTCTAAACGAGGGGTCGGCAATCTTTTTGATATGGAGTGCCAATTATATATTTCCTTGTTAGTCCGCGTGCCATGTTAACAACGGGGGGGGGCTACCATCGAGTAGTCAAACCAAAGCAGCAGGCGCGCCAAGCAACAGCCAATGACATTTCAACATCATAGGAGACGTCTGAAAACTTTTAATGTGTTTAATAATTAGGGTTGTGATCTAGAGACCTGCGCGGAACAAATTTTTCAGTCCCGCTCCTGCCCGCTCCCGCAAGATTCTGTCCTGCTCCCGCAAAAAAATATATATTATTTTCTCCAGCTCCCACCCGCAGTATTCAAGTTTTGTCCCACTCCCGCCCGCAAAATCCCGCAGTTACACATATACTGTAAGTAGTTTTATTTTTACCACTTCTTCCCGCTACTCTGTTATTTGTTTCACTTGCTTCCCTTTTGAGTGTATATAAAAAAAGAAACGGAAAATAAACAAATATGTTTAGTTTTATTTGAGTTTAATTAAATGGAATGATGAACATGGACACAAACGAGGAGCATTTCAGAACATAGAAATACACTCAGAACAGTTAGAAATAGGCTAATAATATTGCAATGAAACAAAATAATAATAAACGTTGATTTCTCAAGTGGTCAAACAGAAAAGCATTTGGCCTAATACTGCTTCAGAGCGTTAGCCTTTAATTTAGTCGTTCTTGTTGCTTTTGTGCAGTAGATAAATAATAGAGTACTTGTTTTTAATAAATTAATTTTAAGATAATTCCATTTTGTGGGAGTCCTGCGATTAATTCTATTCTCCCGCAACCCGCACATACATGAGGACCTTACTGCCCGCACCCATCAAATCTTGTCCCACGCCGCACTCGGTGCATTGGGTCCCGCGGGTCCCGCGGTACTCCCGCGGGAGTGCAGGTCCCTATTGTGATCATCGTCAGCGTGCCACCCGAAATTCCTCCGCGTGCCTAGGGTTGCCGACCCCTGGTCAAAACATAGACTTGGGAAACACTCTTTACCTGATTTAGGTATCCCTTTTTTTTTCTCCTTTCAGGGAATGGGTTGATGGGAGGGAGAATGATGTGTAAAATGTTTGCTGTGTTTGCTGTGATATGCGAACTAAAAAAGTAATAAATATATTGTTAAAAAAAAAAAAACAATGACAAATAACAACACTAAAGGTTTATGCTACTGTATCCGTAAAAGGGATACCGAGTACGTGTAAATATTCAAGCATAATACAACAGCAGAATCGTAAATTACCAACAAATAATAACAAACTTTACTGCAGCTTACTCCTAACACAATTACTAGGCTACAACCTCTGTAGCCTAATATACTGTAACACGGCGATACAGCAGTCAATACACAATTACTTTACGACTCTGCGGCAAGCGAGAAACTAAATGTGCTTTCTTTCTATAATTAACTAACGGAAACAAGTTAGATATAGGAAACTTACTTTATATCAAGTTACCCACACGGGGAATTAAGGAAGACTTCACAACTAAATAAAATAAATCTTCAGAAACCAGCACGTCTGGGTTATTCCGTCTCATTCGCAGCTCTGAAGCCCCGCACTTGCGGAGAGATCGCGTGACCTGCTTTAGTCGGCGGAAATTCTTAAAGGCGCCTCACCCTCCATCTCTCTTGTACAGCCGCCCCTACATTTGTTGCGCAAATGTACTTCTTATAGGTAGGCTAAGTGGTCTCTGGTGGGGTAGCTCCTTGGTTGTCATCATCTGGAATGGCAGGTAGCTTGATGAGACGAGTTACTGGACGGTGGTAGGACTTGTCCTTGATCCAGATGTCAGCTGAACGAACGTAACCATCCTTTCCAGGGTACGTGGTTTCCACCCGACTGACTGGCCAAAGTGCTCTAGGTAATTGATGGTCCATAATCATGACAACGGTTCCAGGTACAAGATCGCCCACCCCAACTGTCCACTTCTGGCGCAGCTGCAGGGTAGGCAGGTAATTCTTTATGAAGCGGCTCCAGAATTGGTTGGCTAGTACTTGTGTGTGGCGCCATCTCCTCCGACTGAGCATCTCCGACTCCGGGTACACAACCTGGGGTAAAGAGGTATCAGGCCGCCCCATGAGCAAGTAATTCGGCGTCACAGGGTCCGGGTCAGCCACATCAGAAGAGACGTATCCTAGTGGTTTAGCATTTACGATTGCTTCAACCTCCGTTAGTAGCGTCTGGAGTACTTCTTCAGTGAGGGTTTGTGCTCCCAACATGGTCTAGAGAGCAGTCTTAACTGAACGGATCTCACGTTCCCACAAACCTCCAAAATGTGGTGCATTGGGAGGGTTGTAGTGAAACTTAATTTTTGTGAAGCCAGTAGTGTCTGAAGGTCAGGACTCATGGTGTTAAATGCTTGCTGCAACTCCTTATCACCCCCTCTGAAATTGGTTCCCTGATCAGAAAGAATTTCAAAAGGGGTTCCACGGCGAGCTATAAAGCGTCTTAAGGCCAGCAGAAAGGAGTCTGTGTCCAAGCTCTGAAGCAGGTCTAGATGGACGCACCTGGTGGTCAGGCATTTAATGATGATACCCCATCTCTTTTCATTACTATTACCACGTCTCACCAGGAATGGTCCGAAGCAATCTACTCCAGTGGAGTAGAAGGCTGGCTTCATGAGGCGAAGACGGACTGGGGGAAGGTCTGCCATCTTAGGAATTGTAGGTTTAGCCCTCCACCTCTGACAATCGATACAGGATTGTTGGTGACATCGAATGGCTTCTCTTCCCCTGAGAATCCAGTAGGTCCTTCGGATTTCAGCAAAGACTCTGTCAAGTCCAGGGTGGTACAATTTCCTATCATATTACTGAATGAGTTGGCGGGTAATGGGATGCTTGGGATCCAGCACTATGGGATGTAGAGTGTGAGGGCTAAGGTCTGGAGCATGGTATAATCTTCCACCCACACGCATGACCCCAACACTTTGGTCAAATTCTGGTGATAGAGTGAGGAGACGGCTGGATGGCTCAATAGGTTTGCTAGTTTTCAGGGCCTGATATTCCTCTGGGAAACTGTCCATTTGTACTGATCCGTAGGCTGTTTCGGATGCATCACAGAAGATATGTAGTTCTCTTCTCACTTGTGGGTTGTCCAGGTCGGCTGGTATGTAACACCTAGGAAGAGCAAGCAGGGGTAAATACTGAAGCTCTGATTCCCAGGTCTTCCAAGCTTGAAGGAGGTCTGAAGGGAGGAGTGGGTCACCCCATTCCCTTTCTTTCATCCACAACTGACACACTAAAACTTTGGCCCTGGTAGTGTAAGGCAATATGTATCCTAAGGTATCGTATTAGCTGGCGAGGGTACGGTATATATTCCGCATTGTCACTTCTTTGCTGGGAAGTGGGCGATGTCGATAATGTAGGCTGTCTGGCAGGCAGTGCC